AAATCCCTCCAACCTCATTGATTCTATTAGCAATAAGTGGGTGTTTGCCACTCGATGCAGATGAATACTGTAATCGGTGCACACTCACAACTCAAGTATGGTGCGCCTCTTGGGTAGTTCTTATTTTAGGTCTTTAATTGGCTGAAGAGGCCAATTCTGGAAGCGTTAACGTTCTCGCAGTGTGGGCATTGATGTGAGGTGCTCGAATAGGGGACTCTCTCCTTTCTTTGCTGGTGCTTGCCTCTGGCAGCTCGTCTGAGATCCTCTTCATGGAGTGTGGCTCACTCATTTAAACTGTTTTTCCATGCCATTGCGTATTGAGCGCAGTCTTCCTAGTTAGAGCTGTTTATTTGGAAGTTTGATCTTGATTTTGGCCTTGATTTGTTTTTATGACCTGCTGGTGTCCGCTGGCCGGGATCTAATTTTGAGCAGAAAGAACAATCAACGCCTCGTTCTCTATTATTTGATTGATTGAAACTATATGTACTTGGATGATTACTGCATATAAGTTGTAGCCACACAAGGGCTTGTGTTTAAACAGCCAGCATGGGTCAGTGCTTCAACGCTTTCCACTGTAGCATTTGGCCTTTCAGAAATTACTTCCTTAGTCGGCAGTAATGCAGACTCCATCATATATATAGGTGACCTTCCTGGTTGCAAAGAAAGCTGTTTTTACGCATGCACTGCAGCCTAAACTGTTCTAGACCAAACAGGACTCAAAAGATCAGACATTAAATGGCCTTTAACGAGCAGCTCCCTCGTGTGATGCTTGATAGCGTGCACGTGAGGATTGGTTAGGTAACAGTCTGGTGACATATCACAGCCAGTGAATGGACATCACATGTTCTGTCTGTCTGCTCTATACAGTCAGAACCACTGCTTACATCAAACAAATATGTTTCAAATTGCTACTACCGTACTTAGACTTAATATTTTAACACAGACAGCTGTAGACCTCAGGTCAGCAGTCATTCCTGTTATTCTCCTTTGAAGTCTGCCTGATGGGCGCAGCGTCGTTGGTGTATTGTAATGCAAAGTCTCTGCGGACGAGTCTGCCAGTCACAAAAAAACGGCAGAGCCTCACGCTTGCTGTCTGATGATGAAATTTATGTCACTTGGACCCTAGCAGACTCAGAGACGAGGGAATTGTAAAGCGGCTATTATATTCTAGTTGTGGACACAGACAGCTGGAGACACCACGGATGAGTAGTCAGTCACGTTACTCTTTGTTAAAGTCTTTGATAAGTCAGACTAAAAGGTGCCGGCGTAGGTCCTGCGTTGTAGGCTGGCAGCTCTGCAGATAAAACTGTGTGATCATTAAAAAGCAGCAGGCTTGTCGATGCCCGCTCAGAGCCTTGTGATCGTTGTCTGGTGACGAAATTCACGTGACTTATACCCAAGCACACTCACAGATGCCAAACTGTAACATGCTTCTAAGAGCATTCAGTACAAGTATTGCATGGGTTACTTGTGACGGTCAAAATGCAGAGTGTGGAAATTTTAGCTCTGAAATGGAGAGACTGCTCAACACTTGTCTTTGTATTAAATAATGATCATCACCCTGTGAGACCATTGAAATAGATCTCATCATCATGCTGCAAGCTCAAAATGTTAGCGAAACATGTTGAGAACTTGCATGTCCAAAACTGGGAAGCTTTTGGAAAAGCATATTTGAAACCATGTCCAACATATTTGGTGTTCCAATTGCACCCTGCCCGTTTATAGCTATTTTTGGGGTGA